ATGAGACAAAGAATGACTGTCCATTCACTGATTCGAGTTCTGCTTGCTATCCCTCTAATCCAAGCTTTCCCAAGAGCACCAAAGGACTAGATATTCCGTCTTTAATTGCCCGTTTCGAGTAGCCTGTCTTTTTGCTATCGCCTTGATGGGTTTCTTCTCGAAGCTCGGTATCTAAATAGAATGGTGAGAGGAGCCGGACCGCAACATAGTAATCTTGATCATACCTTTCGGTCCTCATAGCTCGTGTAGTTATATATTATACTCATGATAGGATCCTCTGCAATAGAGCTGTTATCTAAGAAGTAAGAGAGCTGTTCCGTGTCGGAAGCAAGGAATGCTCGATCTTTGCTCATTTCCGAGGGGACGTAATCGGAATCAAGTTCTGAGTTTAGGACATCTTAGGGCTCTGAATCCTGAGAGCCCAGTGTGGTTCCGCTACAAGACGTGTCATCATTATAGCAACTTAGCGACGACATAAGTGTACTTCAATGGATTCAATTGCAGCTATAGTTATGACGATATCATAGCATAATAATATACTATTAGAAACCGCTTCTTATAGAGACTATATAGGTTATAGCCGGCACGTAACCAGGGAACCCTTTTTTATGGGTTCAATTAACCACCCTCCGAAAATGATGTGCAGTTTCTCCCTGTATCAACCAAGTTAGGAGCGTTTGGTTTCAACAGGACGAGAAGACAGTAACACGCAATCGCGTTCTGCATAAATGTATTAAGATCGAAGGCCGTAGTGTTTATACTGGTTTCATTCCTTTTGCAAAGCAGATAGTTGTCTCTACCGATAGAGCGTGGATTTTCAGATTTCAAATGGTTAAACTCCAGTTATTTAAGACTCGGTAGGCTGATCTGATATAAAGAATCTATATTCGCTAGTATTTAACTAGGAACAGGGTATATCGATATAGTATTGTTTCTAATACAGAGTTTGAATTGGCTCTAGATAGTGTTACAAATGAATTGTCTGGCAACATAGTATCCCGTGCGCTCTATTAGATAGCTACGGTCTTATTTTCGATCCCGGTAAGTTCCGTTCTAGTACAGTACCTACAGGCCGCAGCCTGATCAACATACTCGGTCAGGTCACCAGTCTAGTCATTAATCCAGAGTATTAGACACAAAATAGGAAGGTACTATATTACATTCTCACCGTAAACCGACTTTAAAACTAACGTCGTTCCGGATAATGGATAGTCCCCTGTTCCGTGCAGTCGTTGTAACGTTGAGGAGAGCTTGTTACATGATACTTCCAAATCAAGTATGTACAGCTAAATTCGAAATCGGCTTCCATCTTTTTCACAGAGAAACTATCTCGGCCCTCGCCACTAGTCCAATTATGGATCCAACTCTACTACTTTTAGATCTGATGTGGGGCTCAAGGGCAATTTCTGCAGTTTCAATTGGATTAGCTTGCGTTGACCCTACCTTCTAGATTAAACGTGTCTGTGCAAACGATGGAAGCCGATTTTGAATATTGCTGTAGATAATCCCATCGGGGGTATTTCAAACCTAACAAATTTACAGAGTTTCATTCGGCCCAGCTACATAAAGTGCATCCCCATTCGATACGGCATGATGTGCGGCAAATCCGGCCAGATAACCGTTCACCTTAACCGCCCCTGTGTGTATAATTGTCCACAATCTGTTTGGAAACGGTCTGTAAAGATTTTTGTCCCTGTTTATATGGAAGTTTGAAGTACAGTCCATGAAATCTCTCCGCTGGGCATAAGAGTATTCCCGGGCGGTCCTATGTTCAGCACACGCTACTCTAATACTTACACAAATGAATTACGTATTTGACTTAGCTATATTTAAATCGGATTCACTGTGTACCGGACTTTATCATCGGAGTTTAAAGATTTACGATGTACCGGCCAAGCATTGGAACGCGGAGAGGATACATCTTTACCATTCGCCGGGTATGAATCAATATTCAGTGTATATTCTCCCAGTCGTTGCTCTTTCTTCGGATTGCAAATTATCTTGTGCTAAAAAGGGGGATAGTTCTTATCTGACTCCAAATAGTTGATTTAAATAAACTCTGGCAAATTAGTTTAATCTGGTAGAATACAGATGAATCAGCTCGTAGAGAAATAGACGGCTAGTGAGTGTAACCCATTAACTGGGATAGATTAAATAGTTAATCTCTAGGTAGGCAGGGGAAAGGGGAGGGGGACACGTGTAAATACACGCACGGATCCATACCTAGCCTAGATGATTTGAATTAAACAAAAGGGAAAGTACACCAGTTCGATATTTAGGTGATGCGAACGGAACCAAGGAATGATTATTTCAAATGGTCAATTTGAACGGCCATCTGTGATCAGTGGACCATGAATGAAGCTAATCAAGGTTATTAACCCAGGCAGTTGATCTGAATGAATGAATCCAAGGTTTTTACGATGGACCCTCTTGAATACCCCCACAAAGTGTAAGTGGGCACGATTGGTCATGGCAAATGCTGTGGATTGTATACATTTCCCTAGGTTGGTTATAGAGGACCAGGCTGCTTGAATTAGTTATCCAACGAACTGTCGGTCACGGCGAACTTGGTTTTCGGGTTATTACTTGGGGGGTGATTTGGGATGGTTTATCAGGCAAATTTGAATTTATCCATGTTCAAGTACCAAGTACGAAGTACGCCTCAGTTCTCCATGGCACTTATCCAACCTAGGTCTTTAAACGCGCATCCACGAGTAATATATGCCTAATGCTTTTCTCCTAGCAAATATTCCTATTCAGAACGCAAATACGCCCAAGCTTTGCTGCCCAAAAACCGTCCCCGGCAGCCCCTACCCTACTAACTTAACCGATCAAAACCTACGTTTAGAACGAGCCAGCCATACGTCTATGCTCTTGACCCTACGAGCTTAGTAGCGAACAGATTGCGTCTACTGTGTGGAAATTGATTCTGAATAAACACTCCCACTGATTCACGCGTGACGGATCCTGTGTGATCTTGTTGTGTCTGGCGCAGTATAGCCTTTAAATGTGTTTGGGTGCAGTTTGTTTTTCGTCTTGCGAAGATAAAATTATCCTCCAAGAGCGGGCGCCGAGAGCGCCGTCGCAACTATGGTCTCTGTTCTCTTTTCACAAGATTATTTCTATACTTGTCTCTCGGAAACTTCATATTTTGATGGAATTTGAATAAATGATTGGTCTTAGAGTATGCGCGTGCTCTACTAGGTCATCACTATTTGTAGCCCGGGAATGTGTTTCCAGGCCTATAATCGACTCCGCAGTACCACTATATCGCGAGTGAGCCCGGAAAAGGTTCTTGTGGGCTTTAGAGAACTATACTCGATTCTCGGATTTGGTGGAACCACAAACTCTAGCGGTAGTGGTGTGCAATACTCGGGCAACGTCGGCAATCCGTATAGAAGCAACATCATTAAAGTCCCCGCTGCGTAGGCGAACCGATATAAATATGTTGTCCGTTTTGAGGGTCCGGGTAAAGGAGAAAACTGGACTGTCGTGATCTGGAATAAAATTGGGCCTGATGGTATAATAGGAGGCTGGTATGGAAAGGCTTGCAAAAAGTTTACCTTAGTAGCTGGCCAAATTCGTTATATCGCATTCGACGAAGATTCCTAAGGTGGTTGGGCTGCAGCGCCCGGTTCTCTCGTTCTAATTGACGGTAATAGCGGCTATGCTTCGACCTGGGGTGAATTTGACTTCGGTTCCACTGTTAATCTGGGCTAGTCGGGGTTCGATGTTTCGGCTATAGCTGCGCAAAATACTGGCCTTGAGGTTCAAGGTATGAAGATCTGCGACGTCCTCACTTATATCTGCTCCTGTGTTGCTCCGGCAGCAGCATTTGTCTATAGCGCCTGCATAAGTGCAGTTGCCGACATCGGGGGTATTGGCGGCAAGCTTGCCCCTGGTCCGGTAAGACTCGCCGTCACTATTGGTTATGATATTATACACGAATAGCAGCATACGGTATATAAGAGCAAGTTGCATTGGTCGAATGAATTCATTAGCACCATCACCATCATATTATACACGCATAATAAGCTAGACACTCAGATAATCTTGTGCCCGTATATGTAGACAAGAAAATCGGAAAGAGTATAAAGATACAGTAGAACCTTTGGATAACGCATCGGTTTATATTAATCCTATAGGCGAACAGCAAGGTTCGGGAGGTTGCTGCTTGAAGCCTTTCTAGTGACACTGGCTGCCCTCGTAGCTCCCGTACGAACGAGTCGCTCGACCTATTCAGTTACCAGTTTATCGTGATGGTTGCAAACTTGGTGATGGTTCTTCTTCCGCCCGCTCTCGTCCTATAAATTGTTACATTAACCAAACCCCGTGTATCTGTGTCGTACTTTTGAAGTGCAGCGATAGGGGGTGGTAAATAGGCGATGCCGCCAACGCTTGCCCCGCTTCTGTCAGGGCCGCTAGTTGCACTGTAAAGTCTGGACTAGCCAGAGAATCTTCACATTATGCGATAATGATCCTCAGATTATTCTTGAACAGGTGAGAGACTAAAAGGGCTAAACCGTACAGAGAGTTGGCTTCTTCCTAAAACCACTGTAAAGCAAAGCTTTTTGCACAGTTCAGTGTGCATTTCATCCTCATTACCAAGGCAAAAGGTACTGTACAGGAAGTAAGGATATTGGTGCTGGGTCAAATATTGTCGATTATCGAGCCCGACAATCTCAAATATGCGTGATATTCTCAACTTTCCCATTAGCTATATTCTGAAAGCCCGGGTATCGTAGCTGTTCAAAATTGACTATCTTGCATCGGTCTTACAGGCATCTCTCTTGCTACCTTGAACGACATTGTAATTTAAGATTGCAGACGCAAATCTCCACCTGTCAACCGCCAATGTCGACCACCGTACTATAGCAAACGACATAACTGTGCTCCATCCCAAACCGAGCGCATCACTTTAAGTATCAGCTATCGGAATTCCCGTCGACAAGATCAGTTTTGGGTCCTCTTCCTCTTTATCGTCTTCGCAAAAACCGTAAATGGCGACAAAGACCAGCCGTGTGAAACAGGAACAGTTGCGCAAACGTCGTAACAACCTTCTTCGACGCCATAACGACTTTTGGCGTCTTTACTCCATCCGGAGCTGGCTAACTATGGAGATGCCGAATGGCCGAATCTACACTTATCATTCCCATCCCGATGTCCCCGTTCCGACAGTGAAAGAGATAGTGAGCTTTTTAGTGGTATTGAATATCATGAATAATTCTAAGACCTTGTAGAATACTCGCTCTCGACCTGCAGTTCACCGAACTCCCGCGGACTATGTGCCGGAGAAGTCTACGAAGTTAACGATTCCCAAGGCGCCGACTTCTTCCCTTCCGAAGCGTCAGAATGCAGTCTGGGGTTCATTTGCCCGATACATGCAAAATATCAGAGCACGATAAAATCTAGGGCGATCGGTAGAGGAATATTGGGGACTAATTCTAATGATGTCCGTGTGGATGAACTCCAATTTGTGGTATAATCTGCTCTAGGCAGGAATCTCCATGGTTCCATAATACTGTACAGTACGTGTCGACGATAGGTGACGCCAGCCAGAGATCAGCGTGAGTAAGAAGTCTACACTTAAACACGCTTTATTTCCTTCTTTCATGCATGTTATTAAGACTCTCACTTATTTCTATCCAAAATTGTTTTGTTTCTCGTAGCTTTAGCTAACGTGCATGCCATCTGCGAATTCACATAGCTCAAAATAGCGAGGGGGTGCTTCTCCTTTCTGGTCCCTTTCCTCTCCCTACGGTTATAGTTTTAATATATAGTGATAGACGTGCTTTCTATCCTGGACAATATCTAGAAACCAAATTTGACAAAACAGTGTTCCTTCAAGGGAGTCTATTCAAGAGTAAACTTCACATTTTCCGGTTTTCTACTCCGTTTTTGTGCCATCGGAGCAATAACATTTCCCTGGTGGGTTGGAGTTGAGATCCTCGAATTTGATGATGCAAACAGGCTCCAACACGGACGAAGGTAGCGCTGTAGCGGTCGGGGACTGAAAGGGCTGAGCGCTTGAGGCGATGGTCCTAGTTGATGAAATGCTGGTGCTCACACTGTCTGTGGCGGTGCTCACACTGTCTGTCGCGCATGTGGCACCTGAAGGTTGTGCCGACATGATAGTCCCAGTAATTGTGGTTGCTATATTTTCCTCTGTAGTCGATGGATAGTCGGCCACACAGGAGCAGCCAGCAGTACTCTGTCCGGCCTGCGATCTTTTTAATTTCATGATGCTTTCTTGCCCAGTATGACCGAGGAGATCCCACGAGAGAATAAGCGAGGTACAGTGCTCTTCAGAATCGATGATGCCTGCCATACAGTAAAGTCAGTCACTGGTCCTCAGACTAGAGTAAATGTAAACACCCACAAGACGACAGAGCACTCTCGAGTCTGCTTTCGCAATTGGAATCCAGGGACAATATGTTGGCCATTCCTTGTGAGACGTAGCTCAGAGAACTGCTCACATTAGACGCAAGGGTCCATCGGCTGAACATGCCACAGGTATTCTGAGAGAGCTCTTTGAAATCGCTTTCTGCATAGGTCATGGTGGCCAATGCCATAACAAGAAGTTGTAGCATCATTTTGAGTATCTCAGAGACAGCATGCGCTACGGATTCAAATTCTATGAGGATTTGCTTTTTAGGCTGCTCTACCTTTTGTAAGCTTCAAGTCGTGGGGCTTGGTGCCGTTTTATAGAGTTTATTCATTTAACGTGGCGTTCTGTACCATGAGGTGGATTTGGTCTGAGGAACGCAATCCCAGCATAAAAAGCCCGATTTTGACAAATAGCCATCCGACCCAGTTGACTTTGTTCAGGACTAACCTTTCTGCTGCTTACTGGTGGTCCTTCTGAATAAAACATTCAAACGGAGTTCGCGTGGATTCTTTACACAGATTGGATTCTCTGCAGGCATTGGGTCTTTTTCCTCTAAGCCTCGAGTCGCATTATATTTGGGGGTTAGAGTTTGATACCACTATAAATAAAACATTATACCATCCAACTTGACCGACCTAGGAGCCCCTAGTTAACTATTTTTTCCAACCCCGACGACTGATATCGTGAATTTTACTCCTCATCCACTGTACGGTCACCACCGTACATTGCCTACTTTGCTTCGTGCCTGAAAATGACTTTTCGAAATTTTATCACTGTGTTTGCCTTGTTATTTTACGCCGTAAGTAATCGTTCGTGCTATGTCGAATCAGCTTGGCTGACTCTACACAGCTTGCTGGAGGCGCATTCGGAGATGACCTTTCTTTATCTTCGACGATGGTGAGATTACCCCGGTATACTCCGCTTTGTTACAGCTTTTTCATGCTAAAATCCACTTAGGTCATAGATTCACCTCGTTTTCCCATCCCCACAAGTCCTTATCACTCTAAACTGAGAGCCCGTGATGTGACTCCCCTCTCTTTACCAGAATCCAGCTAGCTTGGTACTCATCACGTTATAGTCAGGAAACTTTCAATGCGACTGGAGCCTTGGGCTCGCCTATCTAAATGCCACGACTGTAAACATTGACCATCTTCGTGATGTCAAAGACATAATGTGTAAATCTTCTCCGAACAGCTGCACGCGGGTAGCATTTGAAGACTTCTCAGGCATGTTCTTTTGCAATGATGTGAGTGTACCACCGCCAGTCCCATTGATTTACCCTTTCTCATGGAGAATAGAACGACGCTCCTATCATGACTAAGTGCGGCAATCTCATTGACCATGCCACAACGCTATCCCGAAATTGTCAGCTCCAAGGTTACTATACATATGGCGTATTGATTGGCACGATCCTAAACGGAACAGACCCAAATGGGGGGACTGATGTCTCGTACCATTTGCGGATCGCCGCGGAGGGGTGGGATCATTGGTAGAAACATTTGCGTTCAGTGGATTCAAACGAGACAGCCAAATCAGAAACTGGTCAGGGACGTGTAATCTCATATGGTATCTTTTGAAGCAAACTCTTTTTGATCAGGGTCTATCCTACTGCGAAGCTCGAGGACACATATTCCCAGTTGAAGGCCAAAATATTTGTAGAAATACCTCGCATTGCAGGCTTATGGAACACTTTTCATCAACTGCCATATAGACAACTCCCTCGTTGTGACGATAATTCAGATTTGTACTCAGCAAGGTAACCGAAATTTCTTATCCGGCGCTCCCTGCACGGCTAGAGTCGATGTGCAAATTGTGGGATGAACATAGGCCAGCCAATGCTAATCGAGCATTCTTTTCTTGAGAGGAGATGCTTTGAACTGACAACCTGAAATTCTCCGCAACTCGGGAGACAGCTGAAAACCCTTCGGAATGGTTGCGCTGCTGGCTCTCGTGAAGACCATTCAAACCCTCGGCCACTTCAGCCACCACGTCCTGTAGCCGCTTGAATAGACTGTAACATGAGCGATAGTATGCATATTCTCCTTGTTGCTGACCAATTGCTCGCACGATGTTTGCTATATCGTCCATCTCTCGTGACTTGAGGGGTAAAAGTGAAGGTATTTATGGAATAGCTCAGAAGTTGGATTATCACCCCGTAGTTGCTTTATATGTTAGACGGTGGTAGTGAGGCCTATATCTAGAGTCACTCAACCCTAGAGATGTCTCCGAGCAGCTAAGGGTCCCACCAGCAATCTTAACCTTTCGACAGGAGGCATGCTTTCTGATAGACTTTCTAGGATACTAATATCGATTTGCTGCCATGCTTCCTTCGCTGTATCGATTTACTGTAGAAGGGCCTCGAGTCGGCTTGGAGGCTCAGCCGAAATTAACAGAGGTAAATCTGACACCGTCTCCAGGGCGAAGACGGTCAAGGCCGGGCTAGAGTTCGCCGAGGCGCCACAAAATTTTCGTAGTGGTTGCAATCACTCCTAACGATGTTTTCAGAGTGGTCACGTCAATTGATTTCCTAACTCAAGCTAGTCTTATCTAACAACGCTGCTCCATGGAGAAGTGAAGTCTAGGCAGACGGTTTACTTTGTCACTAAGCCGGGGTTGTTCCATAACCGGTAACAAGTAAACGGCGGGGTATTGTGACACGCAGTAGACCCGTTGGTCGCGTAATAGCTCCGCAAGAAAGTGGTACAAGAGGAGCTATTGTGTAACCCTAGCTCTTTATCCGGATACCACGAGGAGTAATCGTCAGTCACCGAGATGTCCAGCTGCTCCTGTTCTTCCAATGTACAGTTAAGTCGAAAGATGCGGGTTACAAGAGCAGTTGACATGTTACTGTTAAAACTGGTCTGATTGAACCTGGTCCAATTGAAATTGGTACAGGCCCAGTTGCCTAATCCAGCTCATCCCAAGCTAAGAGCCTCAACGGCGCGTATAACACCTAAATACCATTAACCCGGCTGTGGGTCAAAAATAAACAGAACAACCTACATTGGCAGTGGGAGTGTTGCGCGGTGACTCGAGTGATGCGGCGGCTGCTTTGACGGGCGCGACAAGCCTGATATTTTATCATCGTGTGTTGTTATACTTGTGTAAACGTTCAGACTTAGTTGCTTGGATAGGAATTGTCCCGGGCCGGTAAATGTTGCGTTGCGCCCAACGGTTAAGCGACGAAGCAGGGTCCTGTTTAACAGTTAGCAAAGTGAACAGAATTACAGCCATAGCTGTCAGGGTGCGTCGCTATCGCACAAGTGCTAAGCGAGTCACTCACGTTTACACATGCTCTATTCCTCGCTGGGGCTACAACCCGCAACGTCTCTACTTGCACGGCGCGACACCTGACTAAACGCGATCTCCCACGAGTAGGATCCCTGTGACGATGTCTACGAAAAGTATTGGCCGCGGTCATGACCTTCCATTATAGCTATTGCACACATCTACTGTGTTTTTTCAATCACCTCGAACATTGTGACGGCACGAATATGCTTTGGTTTCAAGGGACTGAGTTTCGGATGAACGCGAGGTATGGCTGTACTCCTTTCTGCTGGACATTTGTCCTACTTTCTCACGGGCGGCGAGCAGAGCTAGATTTTTTATAGAGCCCTTCACCATTAGTGGTATAGTCAGTCAGCAAGAGGCAAATGGCACCCGAACAATCAAGCGGCAGATGCAAATGGCTTCTATACACGATTAGTGACGCTACCGATTCTCGAGCTTCAATGCGAACGGTGTCATGGCTACCGATCACCCTCCTACATATCAAACACTGCAATGGTCCAGTTGCGTTTCACCGAGTTGGCGTTTGCTCGCGACATTGGACCAACTGCGCGGTAGCAAAGCCAGGCAGATGCGAGGCCTCTTGTGAAGTCCTGCCCGTGCTCTACGAACTTCGAGCGAATGAGGCAGCAGATCAGGTCATGGGGTCAGCGTCAAAGTCTAGCATGAGATAGTGTAGAATAGACAGGTGGCGCTTGCGCACGGAGAAATTTATAGGATTTAGGATTGGCTATACAACGAATATCTGTAAGCAATTGGAGAGCCCGAGTCTGCCCCACCAGGAATTGTGACAGTCCCCATTGAAACGCTGTGTAAGCTGAAAGTGGGGCTACGCGGTCTACCATACTATACCGCATAGATCTAGCGCTATTTTGTACATGCAGGCCAAAAGTACAATAGATAGCCAATCTAACTACGGTGTACTGAAATAGATCGTCAACTGTGAATGTGCGTAAACGATATATGAACTCCACGCGCCTATAAGTGTGAATTGTGTGCTACAGCATGCGAGGGTGTGACTCAGGGTGCTGCGAGAGCAAGGAGATTGAGCAAAGACAACTGCGCATAGCCACTAGTGCCTTTGGGACCAGCTATATCTCGTTAATATTTAACTTATTACGCCCCACCCAACGCATTAACATTCATTCGTATTGTGAATATTGCGTGAAAGAACTTAAGACGAACCAAATTCAACATCTCGAAGTCAAGGTGACAGAACATGAAGAGAGAAAGACGTGGAAAAGAAAGGAATTACTGGTTTGGGTGTCAAGCACGCAGTACAAACAGATGAAGAACTCTTTTCGATGCAGTAGTCAGACTTGTCTCGTGTTTCCACCGTAGCTGTATCCTCAACGCTAGGATGGCATAGGTACTACATTCCCCATAACCGGCAATTCTGCGATAATCAAGCCATACAATATCTGTTAAAGATGTATATTTTTTGTTCATATGCCAATAAACCGTTTCTAAAATATTATATGTAACTAACTTGTCTATCTTGTATCCAATTGTGATTGGCACTTTTGATCAATTCAAATAATTTTAGACAGCAAGTAAAGTAGATTACAGTGCCCGTATTGAAATATTTATTACCGATCTTGTTGAATTTGGATAGGCAATTTGGGTCAATCCGATGAGGCCATGTCGAGGAGCGCTTAAGCTACATGTCAATCCTCCATCTCCTGCTTGATATAATAAAAGTTCGGATGGTATCAAAGCTAGCAATTTCGATAAATCTTTGAGGTTATGCGTGGTTGGGGCCGCGGTGTGGTTGTGTCCTCTTCCTTCTCTGTAGGCGGTTTCGAAAGGCTTGGTGGACTCCTTCGCGAAAAGGAACTGAATAATCGATCACGTTGTCAGCTTAAGGCTTTCAAAAACTAGCTCTGCCAGATAAACAATGTAGGGGAAGAAACCGCCTTTCATCTTAATAACGAGCTAGGTATAGCTCTCAACTGCTCACACCCAAGAAGGTCACCTGAAGTGTTTGACATGCGTTGCAATTGTGAACTGTGTAAGACGGAAGAAGTGTCATTCATGAAAACGGAAGTTATTTGATTTCGCCTCTTCAGTGTAAGACGTCGGTGCAACTGATCAGTGGAACAAACTGAGGGTGGGAAAGTGAAAATGGAGAGGGAAGGAAGGAGAGGTACAATATCACTTCCCAGCCGAACTTTTCCTCACACAATTTCCAAGTGGGACTACTTGTCTTTTCTCCTTGCCCGAGGGTAGGTCCGTCAACGGACGTTTCTACAACAACTCCCTTCCCGCAAGTGTTTGATGGACACTGAACCAAACAAATCCGCTCTGTTCTCTCTTGCTGTTTGAGCTTGGTCCCTTCAGGGCCAAATCCTGGTGCGGTCACCTACCTCTCCCGCTTGGATCGTCACCTCACTTTGGCATCCTAACCCTCCTTGACCCCACTGCCACCCTCCTTTAGTAGCACGTCTGTGAATCTCGATGTGATACTGCTCCACACTCAACAGCGGGCCGATTCGTTTCGTTAGAGGCAGCCAAGGTGAGCTTCCTCCGTGGCAACTGGAGACTGTGATCTTGCTAAAGTAGATGCATCAGCATTCTTGTTTCGAACAAGGAAGACCTACCCCTTGTCGTTCAACCCGTCAAATTCAATATTTCCCTTTATCTGTAATGTCCCGTACAGCGGCGCTAATCTCATCTCCAGACTGCAAGCTTAAACCCTTCCTACCTGAGACCGCGCTTCGACGAGAAATGATCCAGCTGTCCAGGGAAAGGGGGAATGATGAATTGGTGCTTCACCTAGCACACTTAATATCGAATCCCGGATCATACGTCAATATCAGCATATCCCTGATGTCTAGCTTACTTTGGGATGATATAGCCTCGTCTCTCTCGGAATATTCCTCCTGACCCTGCCGTCGAGAATAACCCCCTACATCCGATACGGCTTCCAAACCTTCTGCGATACACTTCCTCATCCGTCGCGACAAAACTCGCTCTGATTCAGTTACGGGACATAATTTTGTCGGAGTTGGCTCATATGGGGCATCTGCTCTGCGAGATTAAACTGCCAAATTTGTTGGAAATATGCTTCCCGTGAAAGGTCACCATTGTCACAACACTCTACAAAATCAGTCAGGAGCAGTGCGAATGGTGGGCCACGCAGTACTCCGGGTGACTCTGGAAAGAAAGTCGACGAGAAGGGCATAAGGTGTACAAGGACGCAAGACCGGGATTTCAAAGTTGCTTTCCCGAGGTCTACAAGATAACCCAAACCCCAGAGGCCCGCCCGGAACGTTGTCAGTCTTTGCAAATATACATCATATAGCTGAGGCTATAACCCTTTGATAAACGGAAGCTGTATATTTGATACCTGTGTCAACAGGTATTCTTCTTGGCAATGGCAATGGAAAGCGGATTACATGATGTGGGAGGAAAGACTGTACCCGGAAAAGTGGTTGCAGAGAGAATGACACCGATAGATAAGATCCTACACTGAATTAAAGCCTGGCCTCCAGTTGGAAAATTACAGTCGGGGACCTCTTTGTTCTCTTCTGAGACCATTCGCCAGCGTGCGCCGGCATTTGTCCATTACTGTGTCTCTGTGCCCTGTACACTTTAGCTGTAATCAATGTAAAGCGACTGCGCAGGCTGTTGATTAATGGCAGCTTTATGATTGAAACGTGGATAGTATCAACCTGCATCGTGCTTGCGAGTGGAGTTGGATTACGCGATATTCAAGGAATAGCTGTACCTGCAAAATTCCTTACGGGGAGAATAACATTGTTACTGTGAGAGACACACTGTGAGCTGCCCTATGAGCTTCGTCTCAGGCCACTCGAGGATATGCATGTTGATACAGACGAGAACTTGGAGAGGATGGAAAATTCGCGAACAAACAGTGGGCGACAAATTATCCACATAAATTGCAAGTATATCAATCACCAACTTCCGCATAAACCTATCCCTTGTTGGTGCACGTCATTCATTCGTAATTCTTTGAGACTGTATCCGCCACTCATTACGGGCTTGTTAAGTGGACACCAAAGTTCCTTCTTGTGACTCTTTCAACTATCCCTTCCAGGCCTTCTCGCTGCAAGCGCGCAATGGGTATGCTGTCCTCGCCCATTTTAAGTCGTATGCCCGAGCTTGATGCCTTTTCGAAATAACATATTCGATTGATGTCTTTCTGAGGTCCTTCCAAATATGGCAACGAGCAAAATATATGATTCAGCATCGCAATTGTTTGTCGCTGGATGACAAGAAGCTTGGTGTCTTCGGCAATTTTTCGATTGTTTGGATCCCACAAAATCATCTCCTTGAGTCCATCCTCAGTAATTGAGAGAACATCGCTCACTTCTTCTGGATCAAAGAGAATAGAAGAAGTCCCCTTGGGCATTTTGAGATCGCTGTCCCACCTGCGGTCATTGAACAGCCATACGTCACGTCCAGAGATAGCATATCCGAACACAAACTTGATCAGCCATTTGTTTGAGCCAGTCGTGGAGCCCACGTGGTTCCAAAAATAAAAATAGCCATCAATGTGAGGACGCGCGCCTAGAATGGATATCCCGCTCTCCTCTAAAAGCTCACGAAGTGAAGCAAGCTGAAGAGTTTGGTCTTCTTGCTCGACAGCACCTCCTGGGATTTCCACTACATAAGGCCGCGAAGTGTTTGTGCCAGCCCGCTTCTGCATATGGACCCCCTTGGTTTCACAACTGAAAAGAAGGGCTTCGACACACTTGCCTTGGATAGGAAAATCCAGGACTTGCAGTCTTTGGACTATATCTTTCGCGAGGCTGTCGATATCGCCAAAAGGAATTGAATAAACTGTCTCGGGCTCGAGGGTCAAATCTGGCAATTGATTGGGTGAAATCGGCACCACCTCTGAACAGTGGCTGATAGTACGAGGAGAGATTGACATAATTGTTTCAGATATCAATTAAAGATTGAAAAGGAAGGGTTGTACTGTGAGTCGCACGTTAATATTCCAGGAAGCGAGTCTCATATTTATAGTCATAATATTGTGACTGCGGGCACTTGGGCTATCCGAATCTGACCGAGCTACGTACCCGAGTATCACACCGCTATTTCACACTTCGTCATTTTGAAACGGGCGCTATCTCTATAGTGCTCATTGGAAGGGTCTTTTTCGCTCGTGCTTTGAAAATTCAGAGTTGTTATAGGCGTACTGTACGATAGACGTGTCGGTTCTCGCCAAAGAGCCCCATTTCTAAAAAGCAATTATTTGAACCGACGTAGCAAATTGACAAGTCATGCACTGAAACAATGGCTTGATTAGCGTTAAGAGAATCAGTCCTATTTTCGTACAGGGTGGTAACCTAATGAGCTCAACGTAATTGTAACGCAATACGGTTTAAGGCATTGCTTTCGCCGCTGAAGTTCTCGGCTGCCGACGCTCTGCGCTTTGACCTACTTGTTAGATACATTAAAAAATAATTCCCACATCTATCCACTGGCCAGAAGGGCGCTTCATCGACTTGCCAGCCATGTTGGCAGCCATGTTGGCTATACCAACACTCGACACCATTCCCTTTGATATCATCTACCAGATTGCCACCCTACTGGATGCTACTGACTATGTGCAACTAAGTCACACCAACCGAGCTATATATGCTCAATTGAACGTTGACTCCATTGCACGAAGCATTATCAAGGTCAGAGACGCAGCCCACCCCTGTCCGATTAGCATATGAAATTGGATCAAATACCCTTTGTGGTAATTGTTGAAGACTAGGTACTGATACCCCATCCTTGCAGAACTCCCTCGCTTATAGCAGAGAAGGTCGCACCGCCTTGGTTGCCCAATCTGGTTACCCCGAGGCTATCCGGCGGTGGGTCAACATCAACGAAGCTGTAGCCACGGCATCTCCGTATGCAGTAGCGGTGCTGGCATATGCGACCCATTTTCTTTATCACCAGGGAATCCTATGCTACCACGTTGAACATGAAATCCGCTTGCTCGATGTGTATCACGCCGACCGACAGGAACGCCTCTTGGATTTGCGCAATATCATTCCGCGACTGGACAGTAGCTCAGTAGCGACAAGCGTTGCTCCTCTGAACCGAATCACCCTTCTCTATTTCAATAACGAGATCCTCGTGTTTTGTCTTGACGGCTCCGGAGGCCAGAATAGTTGGTTGATTGCTATTGACACAGCCCTCCAACGTGGTCGCCGCAAGCGACTATTACTGCAACGATCCGTTCCTGCATCTGCCCCGATCTTTGTACGGCACACTCAGTCGTATCTATGGTACGGGGTGTTCCTGGCTACCCTCGGTCCGCAAGGGAGCTGGGTATGTTACGGCGTGGACATGACCACCAATGAGGCTATAAGGGTCTACTTGAATGGTGTTGTAGAAGGGGAGATTGGCCAGACCCTTTGTTTTGAAATGTACCAGGACCACCTATACGCCGTTTCAACTCACGTGACTTACGATGATGATGACCATTCTTCTTTTTACCACTGGTTCTGCTATTCACCTCAACAGAAGAGCCAGAAGTGGAGTGGTCGTATATGGCGCCGTAACCACCGTGAAGGGCCCATCAACGAAATGTGGACGAATCTTTCCATTCAATTTGATCAGACTACTGGGGGGCCAATTGTTGTTGAATGTCGCCGCGAGTGGCCAAATGGGAATAGCGAGAACCATCGGACAATTTATCGCGAAGCCCTACCGACACCTGCCAAATTACGGTTGGACTATCCGAGAGGGGGCATTGAGTCTCATTCATGGAGTGACGGCTTCAATGGAGCTCTCAGCGGCTCTGAGATGCACCATATGAACAGTAGCAGGCCAAAAAAACGACTCCGACGTAATTGTCACGCAGAATATGAATCTAGTGACCCAAGCCAGAGGCGAGAATTTATCGCCGCGTATACCAAGCACCACTGCTATCATCTTGCCGCCTCAACATTTATCGATATTGTGAACGATCCTGAGCGTCAAGCAGATGGTGTTCACATTCGAGACTTCCTTCGCCTTCGCACGATCTCGCGGAAGCGTAAATCCCCCATTGATGAAAAAGGTATCGCCGGAAAACCAGGTCTCCTTTATCCACCGACTCAATTCGACGCCAACGGCCGCGCTGTCGAAGGGTCAGATGAGTGCTTCGCTTCCCGTGGAATGAACATGTGGCCTGCTGAAGACGCCCCTACCGGGCTCTGCCGTCTCTTGTGCCCTTCTTCGTGCTCGGGCAAGCTGCGTGCCATCTTAGATGAAGACACGCTCGTTTACTCCGTCTCTTCGCCCGGCCTACCCTCCGGCCACCTAGCGATCATCTTGATAAGCTTTGACCCTATGCTTCACATTCCTACCCTTACACCATTGGGCGTATCAGAGGACCGTCTTCATCTGGAGAGTCCCTTCCCTGTAGCTCTCACGAAGCCAACAGAGTCAGACAGAGGGATTGTTAAACAGGCTGTCCCACTTTATCGTGTAATAAACCGAGGTTGTCGGTTACGATAAGACCAGAAGTTGAAGTATACTGAGCTGTATAGTATATCCCAGCACACTTTCCTTCCTTTCTATTCAATCAGCTTTAGAATTTTATGATCATGAAGCTACCGTAAAACGATCTCAGCGAACGGAGAGTCACTTCATTGGCGATGAAACGCCCACTGGATTTTTTGAGCCAAAACGAGGAAGATGAGACCAACTAAATCGACCTCTTTAGCTACGGTATTGACCAAGCGAAGTTAAGAGGCTGTCTACTGAGAAAATGAGTATCTCGATAAAACAAATAATTCCGCTCATTAGAAAAGTCTGCTGGAATAGATATACCTGAGATGAATGACTGGAATATCTCTTTTTCTGCGCTTCCACCTCGTTGGTTCTCAAGGTCATGCAGGCGCTTGTTATTTTCCGAATTTTGGCGACAAAGGATATTTGCCCCTCTGCTCGGATGTTATCGCCTGAAATAACGTGTATGCATGAATTTTCGCTGAGAATACCCTTCAATTTAGTCGAATTCGGAAGCGAATAATGGCTCGCCCTAACAGCGACATATGCGCTGTGCGCCCGAGAAGACGTCGCATATGCTCTCAAAGAGTCCCTTTTTGGTGTGAATGACCATCTAGGATCGCGGATATATTTGTGAAACGGGCACAGAAGTGACTTGTCGGGTTGAATGTCTGTTCACCTCTTCGAAGGCTTCGACCCGTTGCGTACACACTGTGTCATCTTATCTGCTAAAAAGCCAATCGTCCAGCCAGTCAGAGCGCTTCTGTCTCTCTCAGAAGCCTGGCGACGAGGGAATTTTGCTTTACCTCTTCTCGGAGATTATTATATGGAGAGTTATGTAAACTGAGAATGCTTTACTGAGGAAAGGACAAGTGACTCCCTTGCACGAATTCAGAAGTGGCGTCTCACTCCCACTAACGGCGAGTCGCTCTTGAAACACAAAACCAGCTGTTGATTTAATTTCTCCATGTTGTCTCAAGAATTGAATTGAAATGACTCCCCACATGCATTTGTACGAGCAGACTTAGTCCTGTCACTCTCAACACGCTCCATGATTCCGTTGAGGATTATCAATTCAGCAGCAGAGAGATGCATAGAATTCAATTCAAAATATTTCATGGTTACCTCCATAGCCTTCCGTGCATCTTCTGCTGTAAGTATATCCACCTCTGTTTCCGCTTCGGTTGGGCGCACCGCGACTGTTTCTTCACCTAAGCATACTTCATACGCTTGTGAAGGCAGCCCTGACGTATACATGAGGTTGGTCCCTTCGAATATCAATCTCGGATTCACGAGAATGTTATTCTGATCCTGAAATCTTGTCGTCACGTCGCGTCCTAGGTTTCCGTATTCGAGAGGCCTGACAGGGGACGGGCCAGAAATGGGAGATGAGAGGTGTTGGGACTTCTCCTTCAGGACTTTAGAAATTGTGCTTATCATATAATTTAGCCTTCCATGTAATGCATGATATGGAAATTGGTTTTAGTTTACCTTCTGTCCCAGCCGAATTTGTCTATGCAGGTTTACTAGTCAGAATAAGTTGGCTTTCATTGCATCGGGACCTTACCCGCAATCTGTTGCTGCGTAATCCCTGGGTTCAACTCCTTGTGTTCACAAATTTCTCTTTTCTCCTCTGCGGTCATGGGTCGTACTATTGAGTGTCAGCCAAGAGCTTCTCCAGCAGACGATATTTCTAACGGTAATCTCAAGGAGAAAACATTTGCGAAAACCGAAACCGAATTATTGAGTTTAAACCGCGGAGTGCAAAAAGATACTCGATAAAGAGCACGGCAGGTGATGATGGAAAAGAAATAGCCCGCAGGCTCGGTTGCACTTCATCTTCGGACATGTGTGAGGATACAAAGTCCAACAAGAGAGGACAGAGCCGAACCAAAGTCCAATTTAGGCAAAGTATGACTGCATTCAAGGGCAAATGATTGTAGTCCTACCTCCGCGTTCCCCCTGATTGCCTGCTCTGATCTGTTCCCGGGATAATCTCTTCGCTCGTTCGGCTTGATTGCCGAAACCATTGTGTTGCGTTGACATCCCAGTGAATGACCTTTGACCGGGAGTGGTCGTCGACGTCGGTAAAATAGAGGTTGATGCCGGCCCCGATGATAGTCTCGTATCGAAGGTCAATGGCTGCGTTGGTAAACTGGTCCATGAAGATGGTAGCGTCTGGGGTTGCATCGAGGCGAGATTCGGCGGTGCGGACATGCAGTAGTACATCTCATCTACCTCCATTGGCGGAGAGGAATGGTAGATAGATGGACTAAAATAAGGCATCGATGGCGGATGCACCGGTGACTGAAATGCGCTGCGCTTGATTTCACCGTCTGGGGGTAAAGGCTCATGGTTGGATTTCTGCATTATTAGCACCGATGAAAGTTGTTTCTTTCGGCACACGACGCAGGCACACCTGACGGAAGATAAAAATGAGGTAATAAGAATAATGTATGTGCATAATAACAAGGCGTCCGGAGGAGGAAGTCATTTGATGATGTTAGCGGAGCTGGTCTCCTCTCCGAAGGAAGCAGAGTCCCGGAAAATAGTGGCACCCTAAGTTCTAGGGCATACCAGTGGACTGAAAGTCCTGTTAGCGAGAACTAGCAGATTGACGGGGCTTTGTCCGTGCTCCAAACCTAACTGAGACCAGAAAACCCGCATAGTTTTGGGAGGGGATTTCATTTTGCAGATGATCATCCCTGTCGAGGCCCTTGAGAAGGAAGATGTCCAGATATCCAGATAAGACTTTGAGTCATAAAATTATTACTTAGGTGCAATAAGTGACTTGACTACAATCACGACCAGGAAGTTCGTTGGCTTATACTTCCAACTATTCGTCTGTAAGTAGAAATATTCCTCCCTGTGTTGTTTTCAAGAAGGAGAATGGTACACTGGACAAGGGTGTGCACGGTATGGAGTAGTATTGCCCTCCCTGGTTCTCCACTGTCTAATAGTTCGGCACTAGTAAGATCAATCCAGGTAATGTACTCGAGTCTATACCCGTTGAGGATAGACTCGGACTAATCGTCGCCTGCTTCCTGAATGTATATGTTCTGTGCATCGGATTTGTACGGAAAGGTTTGGCCGGTCAACTCATTTCCTTGTAAGTTACCCTTGTAAGTTACTCCAACTCCTAGCTATGTGACCAGAATACAGGCCATCATATTTCCAAAGAAATAGAAAATACTTATGCGAGGGAATTTACGTGCGTCATGCCGGATGGCTGTGTTTCCTCCAACCTCCCTTTTCACCATGGCATCACTTCGAGTGTAACTAGTTAGTTTTGTCTAGCGAGAAAACCCAACAAGAAACTCTCGAAGATGATTCGTCTTCTCTCACCAAGTCCGACTAGGAAACAGTGGAGAAACGCGTATCGCGGCAGGAGCAATCATGGCCCAGTCTTTTAGTAGTTTGAGTGACGAAATCATCGATGGGACCGAGAACGACTAGGCCCACACCAGAATCCAACGATGTCCCCAGTTAAGGCGCTATGAAATTATTTCTCCCTTTCCGCGCACTTAAGTCTAACATTTGCAATCCATTCACTCCCATCCACTTTTGGGTGACCTCTCGCATTCGAACCTTCAACAACTACTTGAGACTACATTGGCACACAAATTTCTCCAAGTCCACGACTTTGCTAACCAAAACAGAGCCTCGAAAATGGTTCTTCTCAAGATCGAACCGAACTGATCACTGGTGGCCCCACAACGAAGCGAAGTAGTATATTCAGTAATTTCCTTTCTTATTCTGTAAACATGATTCCGCGTAACCCCACATTAACGACAGGTATCCTCGCCTACGATCATCTACGCCCGAGTATAGTGAAGACCGATTTGCAACTCTTCCAATAGACGATCTAACATATCCAAGATATTATCAAGATATTGAGGAATGGGGTCTAACTGCTTAAATGCCCCTTGGGTGGTATAAAACGCTCCGAAAACAGCGCTAAAAACATTGAGCGCAATATTAGACACGTCCAGGTTCCTACGCAATTCCGAGAACCTGGCCAACCATCAAGTGGATGGAAGAAAACCGGGTTTCGGCCTGTATGAAGACGGAATTGGGCGCGAAAGATCAGATTTCTTAAGGCATGCGCTATTTTCCACGCACTATAATGGTGTTTTGACGCGTCTCTTGGCAGCTTCCAAACTGTACAGAAGTGTAATATATCGGGTGATGACCAAAGATGATCCATTCTTGGACATTAGGCCCCAATCAACCCGCTGTGGTTTTTTTGGGTCATGTGCAATGTGCTATCTAGGGTCCAGTTGATTAGCCTGCTGTCTACGCCAGACCAAGGCTTTACTTACAAGGTGTTACGTAGAACTTGTACTATGAAGTATCATACCAGATTGACTGGGCCATTTAAGGGGCTCTTCCCCCGCTCACTCGCCATTTCTACCATTCTTCGCACCCGTTGAATGTTTTCTATCTTGCATTTGAAATAAGCCAAATTTCATTTTATTCGGTCGACCCTTTAGCATGACCAGAAGAAATTTGAGAGATAATACCTCCCCGTCTACCCCTTCCCATGAGGTATTAGACGGGGCAAAAGTATCGCAGCCAGAACATAGGGTATGTCGTTGTTGCCAGCAATAGGACATCATAATGCTATCTCTTTATGGGCTCTTGAGGCTAATTCTTTGAATATGAAAATATCAGTCATACTTTGCTCATACAAATGACGGACAGGGACATGTTGCAGCACGGGCCGATGAAATTGTGATCGTCTCCGGCTCTGCTCACACGCAGATTGAGGGTAGCTCACAGGTTTTGAATGGCGATGTGACCAAAGCAAAGCAATCGCAATCGTCCAGCTGTCATAAACTGGTGGGCGGTTCCGTACGAAAACAGAGCAAATTTGTTAATGGTAATATGGACCGAGAAAGCTTCCTTGCATTCTTCTGCAACGGAAGCCGAAATTATCTACTTGCTCTTGACTGGTATTTTGCTTTTGAAAGTCTAGAGCTCACAATATATCAGAGGCCCTTGCTGCTTCTTTGTATTGATGATCAGTTTCCTGTGACAAGTATATTTTCCGTTCTAAAGAGTGGATGCATAACTTTCGTCCAAGAATTAGTCTAAGTTGACCAGATTGGTACTGTATTCTTAATCAATTCAAATAATTGACTACAGCAAGTAAAATATTTCATGGTTCCTATATTGACATATTTCAGTTTTCAATCTTGTTGAATTCGGATAGGCAATTTAGGTCGATACAGTGAGGCCATTTCGAGGTGTTAAAGAGATATTCCAGCAGATTTTTCTAATAAGCATAATGCCTTTCTTTCGAGATACTCATTTGCTCAGTACACAGTCCATTCAATTCGGCTTGGTCATTACCTTAGCCAAAAAGGTCTATTTAGTTGCGATCACCTTCCTCACTTAGGCTCAAAAAAACCCAATGGCTGTATGGATTGAAATATGCGCGTCGCAGATGCGCAGCTGTATCATAATTTGCGCCAAACCGCTTGCCTTTTTGGCAGGCTTTAACAGTTAGCGAGGAACCTTTTGTCGGAAGAGTTATCCACGCATAACCAGACTTTGCGCCCCCGCGGGTGCGCTCGGTTAATGCGATAGAGCAGATCGAACTTCCTAAAGAAGCGCTCTGGCTGGTCGTTGCACTTTAGACAAAATTGCTATCAAAATGAAAAAGTTTGCATTATGTACCCTAGGTTTTTGTTTGGGCTAGCCCCAGAACGCTCGAGATGGACGAGACAAGTCGTCTCACTGGGCAACTGAAGCCAATGGGTAGCAGGTCTCCAGCTTACGGAGACCAAAGCACAATTTCAGTATTTGCAGGTCGGTGACGGGGAGACTGATCTCATTTTGCCGTAATGGTGAATACAGAGACTCCAGGTGAGATGCATGGCAACAACAAGAAAAAGAAGAAGTAGAAGAATCATAACTCCCCAGGAAAATGGTATAAGCGTCATAATTGACATCTGTGCAAAATGAGCAACCTTCAGAGTAATTAAGCAGCCTTGCTTACAATTGACGATGTCTTTCTGCGCTCCCTGATTTCGGACTATGTCAATCCATTTCGAAAGAATATTCGATCGACTGGTTGAATGGATTGTCCGGAATGCTTTTTGGTAAAGCTCTCCAACGGTCTTCAAGCAGACGTCAGGCCTTTGGTATACCAAACTCGAAAGCCTTCGAATCATGACTTCTCGGTAATCTGCGTCTTGTGGTTAGCGATGATGAAGTGCGAAGACACTTCTCGTAGACATACATTCCAGAGAGATCCCCTGGATAACGCCACTTTGTACGGCCACGTCTGTTGCTCCGGGAAGATGACCGTGCACACTCAAAGGCCCATTATACACGGTGCATGGGAATTCAGGAAGTGGGTGATGCTGGTAAGCCAGTAGCCAGAGATTCTGTTGTTTGTCGTTTGGAGTCGTCGATAGGGTGGCTGATAATCGAACGATGTTTAACTTGTTTGACTTTGTATTTTGGCTATGAGTAGAAATGAAGGGAATTTACATACCAATTTCAGTCCCAGTCACACCACGGTGATGGGCTAAGATGGGATTGAGCGGATACGCGCCGTAGATCAAGATTTGTCCGTTTTCAGGCTCATGTTTAGTATCCATTGCAAAGATGAACGACTAAACAAATTTGAAACTTCAAACAGTAAGTTGCGGGGGATTACTGGGGAGAACAAGACTTCCGCTGGAGAGTGAAGTGAGAGGAGAGGAGGATGAGGAGGAAGAGTGGGGGCAATCTTCAAGTATCTAGTATGCAATGAGTAGACTGGAGATTCTTCTGGCCACAAGCCGCAGTCCAAAGCCATCCTTGAGCGACCGCGTTATCTGTGAAATACTGTGTACTGCGTCTCATGGATGTCTTGCCAAAGTGGGGTCCTTTTTGGTCCAATAATGTGCCTCTATACAAGCCCCTTGTATCGTTACATTACCTTTCAATAGAGGTTGTCACAAAAGGTTGTGGGGCGGCCTGATTTCATCCAATACAATTCCATTGTGTGCCAAATAACCAATAATATGCTCCGGTGCAATTTTAAGTTCATTGACGCTACTCGTTCTGATAATACAGAGGAAAGCGCCACCGCACTCGATTCTCCATGACTCGCGCTCATCCCGGTGCGGACGACATTCAGGGTAATTTTTGGCGTTCCCCAAATTCACT